AATATCTTCGAGGATCATATCATCGTCGAGTTCGATCCACGGCTGAGCCATGATTGGCGGAAGCAGGAAACTGCATGGCTGCTGAACGACCATCGTGGCAGCCTGAAGAAGAAATCGCCGTCACCTTCGAAGAAACAAGCTGCTCGAACTGCTTCCTATCGCCGCAGCTGCTTCGTATCACCACAGCACAGTAGCAGTACAACGCAGCACGGACTGTCCGCGGTCTACGAAACCTGCTGCTGATAGCAACGCTTGTAAAGAACACGCTGTGATCGGCAGAAACTACTAGAGGGAGTGAGCGAGGACTTACGTCACAATCCATGGCCCGAGTCGCCATCGCGCTATCGTGTTCACCTTTCAAAAATATATTTCCCGCCAGTTATTCCGATAGAGCCAAGGCTCCGATGCAGATACTTTCTAGGAATCGTAGAAGTGGAGCTCTCAATGACTTGCAATATCCAGGATTCCCCGACTTGGTGAGAGTAGATCCCTAGAAATGCTGAAGATCTCTAGGTGATAGAATTCTCCAAGTGAAACAAACACTCGAAAATCTGTGTCCGATCTGCTTGGGTGTGCCAAAAGACCCGTCGGAATGCGGTTGAATGAGGTGAATAAACATATCAGAACGGTTGGGTGAGGTAGCAATGAGCGGGTACGGATATGCCCCAGCATCTTTGAGTAGGGGAGACGAACCTCAGGATCACATCACATAAAAAAAATTGCTTCTCCAGAACAGGTGGTTTCGATTTGACATTCCCATTTCCTTACACTTGCGTCTCGCTTCAGTAGAAGTAAAAAATATAAACACTTTCAAAGCAGGCAAGATACATCACGTCAGTGTCTCCAAACAAGGAAACCAGCTTCCACAAAAACAAGAACATCTAAAGTATGTTATACACTTCAGCATCTGGCCACATGGGCCGCGATTGCAAAAAAATGGAGCCAGCGTGCATTGCATGCACGGAAAACGGAAGCATGGAGGTGGTGCCATTGCCCTTCCATGCTCAAACGGTAATCACCAGCACTTGTCTTGAAAAACTGACTCTACGACCCTCCTTGGAGCACGGACTTCCAGTAGGGCTGCGTAAAGAGCTCTTCCTCATGATGTAGTCATCAGTTCTTGGTAAGACTTGCGTTTCCCAGCCACCAATAGCAACCTTGCCAGTGTCTGAAGAGATGTAATCCACCAGCCCTTCAAAAATCTCCTTGGCCTTTTCCGTTGTATCGCCTGCGCCCCATGATGCTGAGATATCGGAACGCTCAGAAACCATTTCGTGACCACAGGAGCAGAGACAAGCATCCACAGAAATGTCAACGCCGCTCCTCATCATGTTACCACCCAAGGGGGAATGCCCGTTCATGTAACGTGTCTCGTTGTCGCCGTTGCTAATCCCGCCTGGGTAACTGCAGCTCCTGACGATCCGCTTCCTTGCTCTGAGCACTTTCTGCTGTGTCTGCGGTGATCCAATATTTTCATGGCTTCCGAATCTTGTCCTCCCAGCATCCGTTACAATCCCAGCCCAGTCCACAAAGCCCACTCGCGGCGAGAGCCTAGAAACTGCATTGCGCGACATGCTGCCTTAGCTCTGACCGAAAGGCCCCCTAGCACTCCAAGCCCCAAGACGGTGTTGCCAACGTTCGAGTTAGGAACGTCAAATGCTAACTGCTGATCAGGAATCCTGTGGAAAAAAAAGGGGGGTTTCGTCAGTCTGTGATCGTGTGAGCGGCCTACAAACGGTTTTGTACTCCCGCAACTGACAATGTCAAGACCAGAATCGAGGACCCGAGCAGCCGATCGGGAACCCCTGCGAAGAGTCACTGGCCCAGTGGATGGATATAGTCGTGTTTTCATGCAGCACACAGGCTGTCTAGAAGCCAATAAAGTCGAAGCGCCTGTGTGCGTGCCACGAAACGACATGCTCTTTCAAGCCTGGCACGCAGTGGGAAGTTTGTCAGCTTTTCACAGTCATGCTTCGATATCTCAGCCGTTCTCTACGCATGCTGATACAGTCACGAACACGCCTTGACGAGCGTCAGGTATTCTATTGGCTGTAATGCTACTGTCACCACCGTACAAAATGGACGGTGACGATGAAGACCAGCAGAGGCTGCAGAACCCAATGGATGCAAGTTGCGCTTCGGAAGAGGTTGGATAGGACATTCTTATCCAACTGCTATGGTAAACACCACAACTGCTTTATGATTGTAAGTTTGACGCGTGATTGACGGACACCGCACACTAAACAGAAACGCTGTTCTCTTCACGCAATCGGATGCGTGAACGGTAACGGAGCACGTGAAGCAAACGACTGCTGCTGTGATTGAATGATTTTAGACGGATACTTTGATGAAATGCCAGGCTGGCGCAGTGACCCATTCAAGTCCTGCAACCAACGTCAACTTCTGTGGCTAGCAAATACACCCTGTTTCTCGACCCTCTCACCTTGCGCGATTCGCTGCTACAGTGCGGTCAGGTGCCATAAACCGTATGGCTGAAACCTGCGGGCAAAGCCGCACCAGCTGACGGAGTGGTACTGGGGGCAAAATTTTTCTTTATCGCTGTATACCCTTTTCAACCGCTTTGAAACGCTTGTTTAATGTTCTTTACCATGCAGCATCCTAGCTAACCGCTTTCTTGTGAATGTGCTTGTACCGTCGGTGATAAGACCATTTCAAACGTGGTGACGTTCTACAACTAGTGCATGTTCTGCAACCAGATGCTCTGCTAGCGCGAAACAGGGTGTATCTATCTTGGGAACAGCAAACTTAGGCTCTGGAGATTTCAGTGGTGCGGTATGGAAGGGACGCAACGCTCTCCGCGCATAAACAAAGAAGAACCCCTAAACGAAGTACAGTTCAGGCCAGTGCATCACGAACAACAAGCTCAAGCCTGTGGTTTGAAAGACCAAGGCAGAACGTGAAAATACATACAGTACTGAAGGACAGCGCACATCAGGTGTCTTCGAATCAGGCCTGTTGTTTCGTTTTGGGCCCCCCGGACAAATCAGGGGGCCCGGCATGTATGATCCTGTATTTAGCAGGGCTGGGGCGAATCTCAGCCCTTTAGGCTTCAGGGCTAGAAATTTTTCCTCCCTTGATTCAGGTTTGGCGCGAAAAAATCAGGAGCCTCATTTCAACTACCAAGCCTTCAACTACGTTTGAGATCAACGACAAGCAAGCAAACACGACAAGAAGAGAAATAGTTAGCGTCATATCACTACGCACGCTTTGCAGGCTTCCTAGCCTTTGCAGAGCCGATGATCGTCTGCACATCTTTACTACCCAACCTTCAGGGTAGTTCTTGTGCGCTTCTACCCAACCTAACCGTCACCCACCCCACAGAGAGCGAGCTGTGATTGGTTTAAGCACAAGTTCTAGGCTGAGTTGAATTTGTGGCCCAACCAAGCAACTCGAAATTGCCTTGTTGGATGCAATCAGGTTAGAAACGAAGGGGAAGGAGAGGGAGGAGTGTTGGGGGGGGGAGGGGAGTGGAAGGGGGGTCTCGAGAGATTTTGTTCCAGGGCTCGCCTAAAATCTGCTCTTTACACACCAAGCCTGAGCCCGAAATCACCCTGTAAAGAATCAGGGCCAGAATATTTCCAACCCATCAATTTCAGTTTTCAAGGGCAACCCAGCCCTGGAATTCAAGGTCCAGCAGGGCAAACGCCCTGCAAGCGACAGCCCTGCTTCGAATGAATCATGGCGAGCCGCTCGATACCTACCTGCTCCTCACAACTCACAACTAGCTAGACCTACGACGACTGTGCCTAGTTAGAGGGGAGGATTCAGTTCAGAGCACTGCCACAGATAGGCTTGAATCCCGCAACCATCTCATGCCAAAAACCAAAACATCTCGTACCACGCCATCCTTATACCACACCTCATAGCACTGCACATCGCCGTACCAAAACTTACAGCACCGCGCGAACCGGTACCACACCATGCAGTTATTTAGGGATTTGGTTGGTCGGTCACCTGTAATTGTAAGGTCGTGTTGCAAGTACGAGATCTTGCCTCCATAAATCGATCCCTGCCTTGATTAAACACTGTAGCGTCTGGTTACCTTACTACAGTAATAACACTGTGCATGAAAGTGAATGCTTGCGAGAGCCGGATCGATCGCTCGACAGTCACGACCGATCGGGGGATTGACGATTAACGACGTGTTGCGAACCACACGGATTGGGATGACCACCCCCCGACCCATCACTTCTAGGAAGGCTGCATCGCGGGTCTAGCCGACCAGGTCGAGCCAACCAGACCCGGTTGGGTCTGCCTGACCCGAGTCGACCAGGTCGGCTCAACCAGCCAGACCCAACCCAATCGAGCTGGAGGAGGTTACCATAGTGGCGAACTTCAGAGTTCTCGCGCAAATGTCGCCTTGAATTCGCCGCACTGAATGATACCCTGTGATATCGATGCGAATTTTCCAGCTCACCATCCCCCCGCCCGAGAACTGCTTTCCTGGTCCCTCGAGGATCATGGAAATCGACGGGAAATTCCGTGATTTCCCGAGTCGCGTTTTCGAAGATCTGGTCGGGTTGGGTTTAGCCGACCAGGTCGAGCCGACCCAACCCAATCTCTTTGGGTCGCAACACGTCGTAAGCAGTGTGCACGAATGTGTGTAGTTCCATCCCCAAACCAGTTTTCGCGAAGCGCGAAAAAAAATCGCCGTCGCGGAAGAATCTACCGCGAATTCAACTTGGGCATTAGCGAAAAGTTTGACATGTTGCTGTGCTGTGGCCGCGAAACCCTGCTTTGTCGCAATACCAAGGGTGCTGATGTGCTTCGGCGATCATGGCACACCAGAAAAATCTTATTGGCGGATTGATCACGTCGAGGCCCACACACCGAGCTGAGGATCTACTGTCGCGGTTCGGTTTGACGCCTCGATCTTTCGATTTTATCATCTGCAATACGCCCTGACGAGAGAAATTGGTTTCTTGCCTGGCGCCAAATGGCTCCGTTCCACAGGTGCCGAGCTTTCCGCCCAACGCCTCTCAGGCGATGCCCCCGTCACGCAGCTGCCAGCTAGCCGCACCCACCCTTCCGCCCCAGTTTCCCCCCCAAGCTGCCGCGCTGCTGGACGGCGGAGAGTGAACGGAATGTATGGGGAATACAGTGCAAACCGTGGCAACTGAACCACAGGGGGCCTGTAGTTTCGGGGCGACACGGGTGCGATACTCGCTAGTGGCAGAATTTCCTTTCTGATTTGGACGAGCAGAATTTGACATTGAACGACCTCAATACAAGAAGGATAATAAATCTCGTAATATATAATGTAATATACAATATAATCACGAGAAAGATTACTCATTACATACCCATAGAGCACAATCTCCAATGAAACGCAAGTCTCTGTATTCACACCTGACCTCTGAATCCCTGTCAAGGCGTTCCATATCTTTTACGTTGTCATTCCATTATTTTGACATTGTGTAACACATGCATTGGTGCTGCATTCTCTCCAAAAAAAAATTACAGAAAACGTACCCCAAACATCTCCCAGTATGGTTAATTCTTAGTCGTAGCTATCTCCTTGCAGAGCTCACGATTTTCACACCAGCACCATCACTACCGCCAACTCCAGCATTCTTTGCAAGCGTGGCCGTTTTGAAAGTTGAGCCAAAATGGCTTTGCAGGCAAAGGATACCTGATTTCCCAAATAGGTTTTATTGTGTTTCTTTACTTGCTTGCTTCACTATTCACTGTTGTTACCACGCCAGGGCCTTTGATTTGTCTCAAATCTGCAGAAGCAGGATTCGGCACTCCTCTCTCCCCCACTCCTTCCTGCCCTTGAGATGCCTGTGTTGGCTCTCCTCCTCCCAGTCCTGCTGCCTTTCCTCCTCCCCCTCCTCTCCCGCCTCCGCTTTCCCTCCTTTCCCCCCCTTCTCCCTCTCCTCCTACCGCTCTCTCTCCTTCACCTCTCTTGCTCCCTCCCCCATCATTCCCTCCCTTTCTTCTATCACTACCCTCCCCTCCCCCTCCCCCGCCATCCCCTCCCCCGCCATCCCCTCCCCCACCAGCACCCACCAATCCCTGCAGTTGCTGCACCTGACTGGCCAGCGCCGCCAGCTGGCGCTGCAGCGACGCCACGTCAACAGTTGCCACATCAGCAGATGCCACCCCAGCAGATGCCACGTCACTGTGCCCCGTGGTGACATTTTTGCGAGCTGGTGACAAGTCAGCTGTAGCTGTTTCCGCACCTTCCTGCCTCCCTCCATCACCCTCACTCCCCTTAACTGCGGATGCCTCTTCTGCCTGAAGCTCCTGCTTCAGGGAAACATGCAAACGCAACACGTGAAGGAAGTAGATGAAATGATGTACCACATCTTTCGATGTTTCCCCCCTCACCCTCACTCTCCTTGACTGCAGATGCTTCTTCTGCCTGAAGCTCCTGCCAGGGAAACATGCGAAAGAAACACGTGTAGGGAGTAGATGAAAACAATCTATCGCATGAGAAGGAGTAGATGTCTCAAGAGTCGCCCCTTCCGCCAACTCACAATCTCACTTCCACTCTCTCTCTCCTTGACTGCAGATGCCTCTTCTGCCTGTAGCACCTGCCTCAAGGAAACACCACAGTGCATCGAAGCACATGAAGGGGCGCTGATGCATCGAAGCACATGAAGGGGCGCTGATGAAGGCCTCACAGGCCGAACCCATCTTTAATCCGCAAGTGCATCGAAGCACATGAAGGGGCGCTGATGATGGCCTCACAGGCCGAACCCATCTTTAATCCGCAAGTGCATCGAAGCACATGAAGGGGCGCTGATGCATCGAAGCACATGAAGGGGCGCTGATGCATCGAAGCACATGAAGGGGCATGGGGCAGAGAGCACGGGAGCACACGAGTATACTTCACGGTTTCCCCCTCTCACTCCCCCTCCAACTGTCACTCCCCTTGACTGTAGATGCGTCTTCTGCCTGTAGAGGCACATGAAGGGGCATGGGACAGAGAGCACGGGAGCACACGAGTAGACCGCAAGGTTCCCCCCCCCACATCCCTCTCCTTCTCTCTCTCCTTCACTGCAGATTCCTCGTCAGTCTGAAGCTCCTGCAGCAAGGAAACTTTGCAAGGCATAGAAGCACGTAGGGGCATGGGTAGAGGGCACGGGAGCACACGAGTAGACCTCACGGTCTCCCTCCTCATTCTTCCCAACACTCCAACTCTCATTCTCCTTGACTGTGAATGCCTCCTGTGCCTGTAGCTCCTGCAGCAAGGGAACACCGCAAGGCACGTAGAGGCACATGAAGGGGCATGGTTGGAGCATATGGGAGCACAGGAGTATACCTCACCGTCTCCCCTTCACAGTCCCTCCCACACTCACTCCCCTTGACTGCAGATGCCTCTTCCGCCTGTAGCTCCTGCTTCAAGGAAACACCGCGAGGCACATAGAGGCACGTGAAGGGGCATGAGAGCAGAGAGCACGGGAGCACATGAGTAGACCTCACGGTTCCCCCTCCTCATTCCCACTGCCACCCTCACTCTCCTTGACGTTTCGGGCAAGGAAACACCGCAAGGCACAGAAGCAAGTGAAGGGGCAAGGAAACGTGGCAAGGCACATAGAGGCATGTGACGGGGCATGATTGGAGCACATGGGAGCACATGAGAGCACATGAGTAGACCTCAAGGTTCCCCCCCCACACCAACTGCCACTCCACTGTAAATCACTGACATCTCTTCCAAACACACATGCCACACACACTCACTTCTCCCTTCCCACTCACCTTTAGGCCAACACACTCACCTTTTCCTTCCCAGCAAACCCTGCTTTGGGCATTTTGCACAGTCAGATAGTCAAGGGTCCGTTGGCATACTGGCATACCGCGCAATCAGTCAGATAGTCAAGGGTCCGTTCACTAATCGAGTCGATTCAGAAGTCACTTAGTCAAATTACCACCCACTGATATATTCTCACTCATCCCCAGCATTCCCTTTGGAATTCATGACATCCCAAACAGGCCACCCCCCCACACTCAGCGCATAATCACTGCTCTCCTCCCTACTCACCCTTCTCATCCCCAGCAATCCCTTCTAAGTTAATAACATCCCCCCCAAGAACCCACCCCCCCCCCCCTTTCGGCATCACTGATACCCCCCCCGCACTCGTGCATTCTGCTTTGGCACACTGCGCGCAGGCAGTCAGATAGTCAAGGGTCCGTTCACTAATTGAGTCGCCTCAGGAGCCACCTAGTCAAATCTCCAGCCATCATAGTAATTTCACTCATCCCCAGCATTCCCTTTTGAATTAACGACATCCCCCCCAACCCATTCTGAAATGCACGGTAGGGTGTATCTCAACTCACACTCGTAAAATCAATGACATCCCCCCCAACCCACCCCCCCACACTCTCCGTTTCCATCCTCACAATCCCTGCTCTGGCATACTGCACAGTCAGATGGTCAAGGAGGGACCGTCCACAATACTATTTTCACTCGTCCCCCCAGCATTCCATTCTCAAATGCACGGTAGGGTGTATCTCAACTCAACTCATATTCCCTTCTGAATCACTGATATCTCCCCCAAACCACCCCCCTACACTCACTTTTGCACTCCATACTGGATCACTGATATCCCCCCCACACCACCCCCCCACAGTCAGAAAGTCAAGCGACCGTCCACTATACCATTCTCTAAACCATCCTTTGAGTCGACTCAGAAACCACCCCCTCCAACACTCACCTTTTCCATCCTTGCAATCTCTGCTTTGGCATATTGCACGGTCAGATACACCGCTGCAAGGGGAGAGGGGGAGAAGGGGAGGGGGGGAGAGGGGGAGAGGGGGAGAGGGGTAGAGGGGGAGGAAGGGGAAAGGTAGGTGTGCTGGGGGGGTTGATGCGGGGATTTTGAGAGGGCAAATCCGGAGATGCTTTGGCACATTGCATGGTCAAACACAAAGCTACGTGTTTGGAGAAGTGTTTTGAGACGTCTCGAAACACTTCTTCAATTCCTGAGATGCTTTCGCATATTGCATGGTCAGATACAAAGCTGCAGGGAGGAGAGTGGGGGAGAGGGGAAGAGGGGGGGAGAGGGGAAGAGGGGGGGAGGAGAAAGTGGGGAGAAAGAGGAAAGGGGGGGAATCTGAAACGAGCGTACCACTCTAATCCTGGACATTACACTCCCTTCACACTCCCTTCACACTCCTTCCACACTCCCTTCACACTCCCTACACACTCCCTACACACGCCCTTCAAAACCATTCTAATCATCGTCACAATCGCGCCTTGGTGCTGGTGTCAGTGATTCTTATGGAGTCCACTTTTGAGTCGACTCAAAAGCAATTGCAGCAAGTTCTACTAGCCGTTCCAGCACTTGGTGCTTGTGCCAGCACTTGGTGCTTGTGCCAGCACTTGGTGCTTGTGACAGTGATTCTTACAGAGTCCATACGCTGCTGCTACTACCAGTGTTTAGACTGAAGGTGGCATGCAAGCAACAATTGCAGAGAGTTCTACTAGCCGTGTCAGCACTTGGTGCTGGTGTCTGTGATTCTTATAGAGACCATACGCTGCTGCTACTACCAGTGCTTATGGCATGAACGAGGCTGTTTATAACGCACCTAGAGGGGGCATGCACGCAACGATCGCCTGCCAGATGTGGAAGTCCCACCTGAGGGGATGGGGGGGAGGCGGGGAGTTGGAGTGGGGAAGGGGGAGGAAGGGGAAAGGAAGGAAGTGGTTATAGGATGAACGAGGCTGCTGATGACGCACCTAACCAAGGCATGCAGGCAGCGATTGCCTGCCAGATGTGGAAGTCCCACCTGGGGGTGGGTGGATAGGAGGAGGGGAGAGGGGAGGAAGGGCGGAGGGAACTGGGTTAGGCCGACAGGGTCTTATAACGCACCTAGAGGGGGCATGCATGCAACGATTGCTGGGCAGATGTGGAAACCCCACCTTTGAGCCGACTCAAAATGAGCCGACTCAAAATGAGCCGACTCAAAATGAGTCGACTCAAAAGCTGGGCAGATGTGGAAGCCCCACCTGTGGGTAGGGTGGGGGATGAGGAAGGGAAGAAAAGCGGACGGATGAGCGAAGAGAATGAAAGGGGGACGGAAAGAGGAGAAAGGAAGAGGGGGAAGGAAAGAGGAGGGGGAAAGGGGGGGGGGGAGGGCGGAAGGAAGGAAGGGGGCGAAGGAGGGATTTCTGAGATGACAGGCATACATGCAAAATGCAGTGCTTGCAGGTCATATGTGGCAGTCACCTCATTGACAGCAGGGAAGACACTGATTGGAGACAGGCATACATGCACAATGCAGTGCTTGCAGGTCATACGTGGCAGTCCAACGTGGAAAGCAGAGGGGATCGGATTGGATTGGATCAAATTGGATTGGATTGGATTGGATCGGATTGGATCGGATTGGATTGGTTTGGATTGGTTTGGTTTGGAGGAAAATCGAGTGGACTGAATTTTGAATTACAGGAGAAATGTGAGGATTGGGGATGAAAGGTGAACTTGGGAATGGAAAAAATCCGTGAGCGGAGGGGGGTGCATGTGAGAGGCGGGAGGTGCATGTGAGAGGCGGGGAGGTGCATGTGAGAGGCGGGAGGTGCATGTGAGAGGCGGGGAGGTGCATGGGAGAGGCGGGGAGGTGCATGGGAGAGGCGGGGAGGTGCATGTGAGAGGCGGGAGGTGCATGTGAGAGGCGGGGAGGTGCATGTGAGAGGCGGGGAGGTGCATGGGAGAGGCGGGGAGGTGCATGGGAGAGGCGGGGAGGTGCATGGGAGAGGCAGGGAGGTGCATGTGAGAGGCGGTAGGTTCATGGGAGAGGCGGGAGGTGCATGGGAGAGGCGGGAGGTGCATGGGAGAGGCGGGAGGTGCATGGGAGAGGCGGGGGGAGGAGAGCATCGGAAAGGGGCCAGCATTTGAAAGAATAAGAACAGAGGGGATGGCGGTTTGTTTTTGAGTCGACTCAAAAACCGACGCATCAGGGGGGGAGGTGAGCATCGAAAAAGGGAAAGCATTTGAGAGTATAAGAACAGAGGGGATGGCGGTTAGGAGGTTTGGAGTAGGAGTGGGGGAAGGTAGACAGGAGGTTGGGAGAAGTGGTGGGGGGGAGGAAGAATGGGTTTGGGGGGGTAATCGGGGGAATTTTTGGGGAAGCAGAGGGGAGATTGGGAAGAGAGTGGGGGAGACTGGGGAAGAGGTTGAGGGGGAATCTGGGAGAGGTAAGGGGGGGATTGCGGGAAGACTGGGGGGAGCTGGGGAGAAACTTGGGGAGCAATAGGGGGAAGTTGGGTTGGAGAACTGGAGGAGGAAGGGGGGCCTGGGGGTTTGCAGGCCCCGCCAGTAGGGGAAGATTGGGGGACGAATGGGGGGAGGGGGGGAGGCGGGGAGTGGGTAGGGGTCGGGGTTGGGGGTTTGCAGGCCCTGCCAGTAGGGGAAGATTTGGGGGCGAATGGGGGGAGAAGGGGGGCGGGGAGCGGGTAGGGGTTGGGGGTTTACAAGCCCTGCCCGAGTCGTTTTGGCTTGGGTGGCGACGCCATGACAGTTGAGGAAGATTGGGGGGAGGTGAGGGGGGAAGATTGGGGGGAGGTGAGGGGGGAAGATTGGGGGGAGGTGAGGGGGGAAGATTGGGGGGAGGTGAGGGGGGAAGATTGGGGGGAGGTGAGGGGGGAAGATTGGGGGGAGGTGAGGGGGGAAGATTGGGGGGAGGTGAGGGGGGAAGATTGGGGGGAGGTGAGGGGGGAAGATTGGGGGGAGGTGAGGGGGGAAGATTGGGGGGAGGTGAGGGGGGAAGATTGGGGGGAGGTGAGGGGGGAAGATTGGGGGGAGGTGAGGGGGGAAGATTGGGGGAAGGTGAGGGGGGAATTGGGGAGGGGGGGGGGGGCTGTTGTAGAGGAGAGCTGTGGGGAAGACTGGGGAGAGGGGGGGGAGGGGGGAGTCGATAGGGTGGGGGGAACACAGGCCGTACCCGAGTCGCTTCAGCTTGGGTGGCGGCGCCATGAGAATGGGTGGGGGAAAATTTGGGGAGAGGGATTTAGAGCGGCCGTACCCGAGTCGTTTCATCTTGGGTGGCGGCGGCGTGAGAATGTCCGCGGATTGATGGGGGAAGGGAGGTGGAGAAGGAGGGAAGAAGGGTGGAGATGGAGGGAAGAGGGGTGGAGATGGAGGGAAGAGAGGTGGAGCTGGAGGGAAGGGGGGTGGGAAGGGGTAAGGGGAGCGCTTGGCCGTACCCGAGTCGCTTCAGCTTGGGTGGCGGCGCTATGGGAATGTTTGCAGCGACGCCGTGAGAGTAGGGGGGGATGGGGGGGGGAGGGGGGGAGAGGGGAGGGGATTGAGGGGGGGTTTGTGGGGGAAGATTGGAGGGAATTTTGGGGAGAGTTGAGGGGGGGAATGGGGGGGAGGTTGCGGGGAAATTGGGGGGGAGTTTTAGGAGGAGACAAGGGAGAAATAGGGGGAGGGCTTGACAGGACCCGAGTCGCTTCGGTTTGGCTGGCGGCGCCATGAGCATGTCCGCAGCGCGCGATAGTGGGGAAAGATTGGGGAGGGGAGGTGGGGGGGGGGGGGGAGGAGGGGGAGTGGGGGGGGGGGTGTTCACCCGAGTCGCTTCGGCTTGGCTGGCGGCGCCATGAGCATGTCCGCAGCGCGCGAGATCGTCAACTTGTCGTGAGACCACCCGTTGATCGCATCGCTGCTGCCAATGCTGCTGACGCTGGCATTGCTGCTGCCGTCTCTGCCGCTGCTGCTCCTGCTGCACCTGCTGCTACTGCTGAATCTCTGCTGAACTTTGCTTCTGAAACCATTATTAACGCTGCTGTTGCTGCTGATCCCCCTGCTGCTAATCAGCCTGCGCAGCTGGGTATTTAGGCTCGGCAATTCGCGCAACTGGCTACTTAAGCTCGATGTAGCGTCAGCTGATTTATAAAGGAAACCCGGGTTTCTTTGAAACGGGGTAGAATGTAAACTAGAGGTGCTGAGGGCGGTCGATGGGAAAGAGTGATTCACGGACGACTGGATCGACGGTGGAGATCCGTCAAACGACGACGAAATGCGAGACCAGATGTGTCGCCAAGTAGCACGTCGCATGGCGACACATCTGCGACTGCTTAGACGTCACACGTGGCTCGGTGGGAGGCTGCCTTAGAAATGAGGACCAGAGCCAGAAGGCTGGAAGTGACTATCTTGCAACGTAGATTTGCTAGTCTTGAAAGTGCATGGAGGTTGCGAACTAAAATGCGCTTGGGTGCAGTGCGGTGGCAGGCCCGTCACTGAGTGCAGCAAGAGCGTTTCACTCGGCAGTTAGCCCAGGAAGTGAGCTGAACCAGAATGATTGTACGCGATTAAGGTATTCACGATTAGCCACAAGGGTGTGACGGACACCTGAAAGATTTCCTTCTAAGATCTTTATTGCAAATTGTACATTATTGTAAAAAATGTTAGAACTAGACAGCGAGTCTTATTGCTAAATTAGCCGCCAAAGCCGTACAGGGTTCTGCCTTGGCGTTTCAACGCATAAACCACATCCATGGCAGTAACCGTCTTTCTCCGCGCGTGCTCCGTGTAAGTCACGGCGTCGCGAATGACATTCTCAAGAAACACCTTCAGCACGCCGCGAGTCTCTTCATAGATTAGACCGCTGATACGCTTGACGCCGCCGCGACGAGCGAGACGCCTGATAGCCGGCTTGGTGATGCCTTGGATGTTATCGCGAAGAACCTTCCTGTGACGCTTCGCGCCTCCTTTTCCGAGGCCCTTGCCTCCCTTGCCGCGTCCCGACATGATGTGTAGATTAACGGCACACGGAGACCTGGTCGATACTTTATCAGAGCTAGCCGAAGACGATGCGACGATGCCTTGGAAGCTCAACTGGACTTCAATGGAGATAAGGTGGTTCTTCAATCTGATAAACTGAAGCAACGACTAGAACGACGGAGCTGAAGTGTGAAAGAACTGGAAGTATGGAATTAAGGGGCGATTCACTGCTCTTTTATTCAGACATTGTGGCCAGGGTAGCTTTGCCAGACCAGAAGAGAGAAACAATGGACGACACGGTGCAGTGCGTTTTGGTGTGGTTTATTGTGGTGAATTGGTGGATTTGCCCAGCCCAGTCTGGTGGTGCTGTGTTTTGTTGAGATGAGTTGGCGCATTGTTCGGTGGTGTTGAAGCTTCTTGGTCGTCGATGAGAAACATTTTGAAAGGCGTATCGACGGATATCCCTAATCCTTGTCGATCCCAAAATTCTGCAATCGCGATATTTGATTGGTTTATAATCCGGACAAGCTGTGTAGAGTTGCACCCGACGAAATAAAGTTCGTACAGTTACCACTCCATGCACGACCGTAAAAGATAGCTGAAGCTTCAATTGACGGTCAAGCGAATCACATGGTTCTTCATCGACGGTTCATAGAAAACGTTTCGATCTGTCACCCAGCTTCTCATTGGCTAACTTTGAAAGCACAATCAAACACAAATGTTTCGAGACTTGCAGCAATTCCCAAGAGCTCGTGCACCATGCACGCAGCTCCAGCGACGGACTCTCTTCCCCAACCCAGTCCAAACTCTTGAAATACGTCAGTCCAGCACTAGTCTTCTGTATCTCAAGCGGCCTCTCTCGCATTTCCTAAGTCCGTTAGCTTCCTTATCCAACGTTCGTGACCACCGCTTTTCAGTGCTTCGTCCTGCCGTCACTTCCAAGGCTCTATTTCCTGTCAACCACTTGTTTGTCGATTAACTCTGCGTTATCATGGCGCCAAAGGTAGAAGGGGAGCAGAAGGCGGCGAAGAAGGGACCCAAGAAGGAGCCCGCCGCTAAGAAAGCCGTTCCCGCGGGAAAGAAACCCATCGGCGAGAAGAAAGAGAAGAAAAAGGCTCGCAAGGCCGTCACGGAAACGTACAAGATCTACATCTACAAGGTGCTGAAGCAGGTTCATCCAGACACGGGAATTTCTTCCAAGGCCATGTCGATCATGAACTCCTTTATAAATGATATTTTTGAGAAGCTCGCGACGGAGGCGTCGAAGCTCGCGCGGTACAACAAGAAGCCGACGATCACGTCTCGCGAGATTCAGACGGCAGTTCGGCTGACGCTGCCTGGAGAGCTGGCGAAGCACGCTGTGTCCGAGGGAACAAAAGCCGTGACCAAGTTCACGAGTGCTTAGGCTCCTAGTTTCTTGTTTCTGTCATGTCAAATACTAATTTCTGCTTTCTGGCAATGTTGATAATAGCTAAATAATAAGCTCTTCTCACAAAGGTCACATGCTGGCGATGGCCTGATTCGGTCTGGGCCAGGGCTCATTTAGGGTGTTAGGCCAGGCGGTGGTTGGTTTCGTGACTGATGGTGCCTGAAACCTGAACTGATGGGCTCGTTATGAAGTTGCTCAGTATTCTGAAGCTATGGTTGAAAAGCTGCTCTGCTCCTAACCCTTCTCTTTGCCTCCCTCCTATGGCTCACTGAATACTTTGCGGTAGATAACGGTAGCTCTAGAACACAGGCAACAGGATGTCACAACACCAAAAGTATGGTTCACAACACAATCCCAGGAATTGTCTGCTTTTGAGCAAGCAACTGGATGGGCCCTGCCGAGTCCGCCCCATCAGATGTTTCGAACTTAGGAAACCGTATTTGGCAGAATCAAATATTTTCCCTGCCCAAATATTGTTTGTTAGCAGAATCAAATGGCAACAACAAGCTCCTTGGAATCTAAACTCACAAAAGAATCTTCCAGACGTTCTACACCCCCGCCTTCCCCTGCCTCTCCTTTCCTCCTCCATCTCCTTCATTCCTTAGCCCTACCTGCGCTTTCCCCCTCCCTCCTTGGTCCTCCCCTTTCCTCTTTTCCCTCCTCCCTCACTCCCTCCCCCTTCACTTCCCCCTCCCGCCTGACTCATTTTAAGCAGCTTCGCTTCAAGAGCCTCAATGCGCGCCTCAGCCGCCCTCTGCCGCTCCTCCTCCTCTCCTCTGCCCTCTCCCTTCCTTTGCCCCCCCTCCCCTCCTTGCTGCTTTACCCCTTTGGGTTGCTGGGGGGGAAGAGAAACGGATGGAGAGGTAGCATGTGCCTTCTCTGTTGCTGTTGTTGTTGCTGCTGTTGCTGAAGCAGCAAGTGTAGCAGGACTGATAGCCGATTCTCCTTCAACAGAATCACTTCCAATATAATCACTTCCAGCAGTAACGCTCTCAACTGTAATACTCTCTACAGTCACCTCCACTTCGCCCATTATCACTTCCCCTTCATCCTCCTCTTCCTCTTCTTCCTCCTCTTCCTCCTCCTCTTCCCACTCCTCACCCTCCTCACCCTCCTCCCATTCTCCCTCCTCTTCCTCCTCTTCCTCCCACTCCTGCTCCTCCTCTTTCATCCTCCCTCCTCCCTCCTCTCCTCTCAATTTCCCCTTCACCCCTTCCCCCTCCATAACCCTCCCCTGTCCCCCTCCCCTCTCCCTTACCCCCAATCTCGACACAGTCACACCCTTTTCCTTAACCCTCAGCCTTCCACTCCCTCCAATCCCCCCTCCACCCCCCACCTCCCCTTCCCTCCCTCCTGCCGCCATATCTCTTAGAACCTTCCTCTTAATCTCCTCCACCCGCGCCCTTAGCTCCTTATCCTCCCTTAACCTCTGCAACCATGCTTCTTTCTTCTCCTGCAAATTCCTCTCCTGCAAAGTCCCTTTTCCTGCAACAACCGCTTTCCCCTGCAGTCCATTCTCCCTACTAGTCATCTTACCGCCCTTACTCCCTTCAACCAGTTCTTCCTGATCCTCCTCCTGATTACCCCCCTTAGTCCCTTGCACTTCATAGCTTCTGGGAGGCGTGTCTCCCTTCTTTCCAGCAGGCGTCTCTTCCCGACCCTCCTCTTTCCGATCCTCCTCTTCCCGAACCTCCTCTTCCCGACCCTCCTCTTTCCGATCCTCCTCTTCCCGATCCTCCTCTTCCCGAACCTCCTCTTTCCTCATTGTCTCTCCCCTCCTCATTGTCACATCCTCCCCTTCTTGCCATTCTCTCTCTGCTGCCAACACGCCTGTTTCCACCTCTGCTGCTGCCGCTGGTGCTGCTGCAGCTGTTGCTGCCACTGCTGCCGCTACTGCTGCCGTTGGCACCGCTGCTGCTGTTGCTGCCGTTGTTGCTGCTCTTGCTACGGCTGGAACAGTAGCATCAGTGTTCTTACCAGAAGTGCTCTGAACGGAACTGCTACTAACGGAATTGCTCTTAGCACGGTTGCTTTGCAGCAGAGGCGAATCAGCAGCAGCAGATGCGCCTATGAGCTTGCACGAAACGTCCTTCTCCTTCTGTCCAAACCGGATGGGGGCAGAGCGATTGTACTGCTGCATGAACCTGATGGGGGGGGGAAGAGGAGGGGGGGAGGAGGGGAGAGGGGGAGAGGAGGAGGGGAAGAGGGGAGGGGAGGGGAGAGCGATTCAGCAGCAGAGCCAAGAATGAGCTTGCATGAAACGTCCTTCTCCTTCTGACCAAAGCGGATGGGGGCAGAGCGATTGTACTGCTGCATGAGCCTGATGAGGGGGAGTGGGAGCGAGGGAAACAAGGAAGGGAGAAAATACTCAGGTCGAGAGCCGAGATTGAAGGGGGAATGCATGATGAACCTTATGTGGGGGAGGAAAGGGGAAGGAGAGGGGAGGCGAATAGGTAACTAGCCATGAAGAAATTGGGGGTCTTCCCATGTGCTGCTTTTGAGTCGACTCAAAAGTCACCTTGCTTTTGAGTTGACTCAGAATAGGGAACTAGCCTTGAAGAAATTGGATTGAGGGTCTCCCTATGTGCTTCTGTCCTGCACGGCCCTGGGCGCTGCGATATGTGTGAAGCTCACGGAGTCGGAATGTGCTAGAGGTGGATCCGTGCGTTGCACCGCAATGAACCCATTTGCATACCACTGAGCGGCTGCCATATGCACTTGCAGTGCACATGGGGTCGCGAAGGTGCTAGAGGAGGATTTAGCCTCCATGGGAATGACTACATGCTACCGGCATACCCACACCGACTGTATCCAGTTGCACCGCACTGAACCCATCTGCATACCTTTGAGCCGCTGCCATATCCTTAAAGCCCACCACGGCACTCCCAGTGCACACCGGGTCGCGCGTGCTAGAGAAGGATCCGGTCTCCATGGGAAATACCACATGCTACCACTAGGCCCACACCAACCGCATTGCCTCGCACTAGACCTGATAGCATACCTCTGAGCCGCTGAAATATTCGCAAAAGCCACCACAGCACTCCCAGTGCACACCGGGTCGCGCGTGCTAGAGGATCCGGACTCCATGGGAATTATTTTCAGCAGCCCGGGCTGCCCGTTCCACGCTGCCCGCAAATCCCTGCCGATCTTTTTCTTCTTGGGCAGCCCGGAGACGCGAACCTTGATGGCTGACGATGGGAGGTCCGAGTCTGCTATTGGGAAATTGTGGGTGTGGGGTGGGGGGATAGGAAGGGGGGCAGGGGCGGGGGGTTAAGGGAAAGGAAAGCGGGGGAGGAAAGAGGGCTGCAAATGGTAAACCCGGAACCTAACCAGCAATCCAAACACTTGCATTTTTATGGCTGATGTTGGAAAACTCGAGAATGAGAATTGGAAAAGGGTGGGCTTGTTAGGAGGTTCGTAAGGGGAAGGGGAAAGGGGGGGGGCGGGGAGGGGGGGGGGTGGGGTGTTACAGGTGAGGTAAAAGGGAGAGGGAGAGGGAGGGGAGTGGAAGAGGGAGAGAGAGGGGGAGGGCGAGAGGGAGAGGGAGAGGGAGAAGGATAGGGAGGAGGAGGGGGAGGGGGAGGCGGGAGGGGGAGAGGGAAAAAGAGAGCGAAGGAGAGAGGGAGAGGGAGAGGGAGAGGGAGAGGGAGAGGGAGAGGGAGAGGGAGAGGGAGAGGGAGAGGGTAAGGGAGAGGGAGAGGGTAAGGGAGAGGGAGAGGGAGAGGGTAAGGGAGAGGGAGAGGGAGAGGGAGAGGGAGAGGGTAAGGAAGAGGGAGAGGGAGAGGGTAAGGAAGAGGGAGAGGGAGAGGGAGAGGGAGAGGGAGAGGGTAAGGAAGAGGGAGAGGGAGAGGGAGAGGGTAAGGAAGAGGGAGAGGGAGAGGGAGAGGGTAAGGAAGAGGGAGAGGGAGAGGGTAAGGAAGAGGGAGAGGGAGAGGGAGAGGGAGAGGGTAAGGAAGAGGGAGAGGGAGAGGGTAAGGAAGAGGGAGAGGGAGAGGGAGAGGGTAAGGAAGAGGGAGAGGGAGAGGGAGAGGGAGAGGGTAAGGGAGAGGGAGAGGGAGAAGCTTAGATACAACAGACTGAGTGATGAAAGGTCGCCGATGATAAACCCTGTACCCAAACCAGCAGCCCAAACAGGACCGCCCAAACCCTCACATGCCCTGAACCCTTCTCGTTACTGGTGCTTTTGAGAATTCTCAAAAAGAGAATAAACACCCGACTCGAGGAGCTTGCGCTCTCAATCGTCCCGGCCGCATCAACGAAACCCAAAACCGACCAAAACCCAAATATACGAGGTCAAAGCCCAAAGCCGACCAACAACTAGGAGGCTAAAACCCGAAACCTTAGACTGGGCAAATCGACAGGACATGGGCAGGGAGGAGGAGCAATAGCCGGGCAAAATAAATAAAAAATGTTGAACAAGGAGAAATTTCTGACCTGTGTTGGCCTTCTTCCCTTTTGCAGGCGAGTCTAACACTCCTTGACTGCTCCTTCCCCTCTTTTCCCCGTGTGACTCCCCTTTCCTCTCACCCGCCTTCTCCCCCGCGCTGCCTCCCGGCTTGTTCCCTCCTCCCGTTGATGCCTCCTGCCCCCTCTGCTGCTCTTTTTCTTCTATCTCCGCTAAGAGCTGATCTTCTAACGACGTATCGTACTGCTTCGACGGATCGATAAACCCCTTGGGCTTTGTCGCCAGCCACCGCTGCATTTCCTCGATGCTTCCGAATTCCAAATCGTTGTCATCCGATTTGTAATTCTTTTCCTTCTTCTGCCCACTCTTCTTGGCACCTTTCTTCGCCTGCCCGCGCGCCGACTTTTCCGAAGCGCTATTACGCGCTACCACCGGGGACGGTACATCTGAGGAAGGCGTTACCGAGGACGGTCCTGTCGAGGACGGTTTTATCGCGTCAGCCCGGCACACACGTGGCAACGCCACCGCATTTCCGGCAAATCTACCGGGAATCGAAAGAGAGGAGACGAGCGAGCATCCATGCGCAAACGAGACGGACGGATGCCTACGAGAATCGGTAGAGACGCACGAGGAGAGGGGTTGACAGGAGGAACGTTGTTGATACGCGGAGCGAGAGGGACCCGCACTTGCGGAAGAGTAATGCCTTGGCACACTTAATCTGCGAGGCGCCTCCAAATCGAACGCACACGGCAGGTTGACAACTTTAATCGAAGCACCTAATACGGTGGTCACTGACGTCATGCTGACACAGGTCAGCGAAAGCCGAGAGCTTTGGAGTAACGAAACGCCTATGCCTTCATAAAAGTCGCGACTCGAAGTCGCGTGCTTCAGACTCCCTCGGAACGAACGAGCTATTTGATGCGGAAATTCCGGAGTCGGGACTTGGAGAGTATAGCGAAGAGCAATTGTTCTTTCAGTTTTATGATTCTCCTCTTCTCTTGGAGAGTAATAGAAGAAACTAGACTGGATGAACAATACCTGAGGGGAAGGAGCTATCCTCCCCTCCCCGCACAAATTCTCTCTTTCGAAACGAAAGCGGTGGCGAACTTTCGCCCACCTCGCATTTGTTCTTTCGTGTTACCACCTCGCGAGGTTCGCCCAGTTGTAGGTGAATGCGCGGAAATCTCAATATCCGTTACGCGGGGAATTGAGTTGGCGTTTAGAAAGCTCTTCGCGCTACGAGTTTAGGAACAGAATTGGCAAGAGTAGAATGCAGCCCCCCTCACCCAACTCCCCCCTGAAGTATCTTCCAAATTCGAAGTCCAATATGTAATCTGGAGATGCACAACAATACCGAGGATACAGTAGTTCATCACAAGCACGCCAACAGAACTCTGATACTGCAGCAAGCAACCTTTGATTCAAGAACATCCTAGGCTACCTCTATTAGAGTGAGGATCTTAGACAGGATAGGAAGTGCTTTGGTAGAGTTGGTAGCGGAAGTCTTGTAAGAACTCAGATCATAGTGAATGTAAATGACCAAGTTGATTAAAAGATACAATACAATGGATATAAATAGTCCTAGTCTAGCCGTGTACTCTAAGAGGTACATTCCTTTATTATAACTGTTTTACAAGCATTTCTACAATGACTCTGACTGTTGTACTGCCTTTCTTGTTACCGAGTCGCTGCATGTAACTTGTACGGTTACGCCTGTTGCCATTCCTTGATGGTAAGTCAAGCGTCGGTCCAGATGGTCAACAGTCGCGACTGTTGACCTTCCTGCCCTCGATACGGGCTGATCCGATACTACGGTTGTTGCTGCTTCGACAAAGTCAGGTGCGATACTGCTGCACCTACGGGAATGCTAAGTATGAATCTCTTCACACTCCGACACTCCCCTTCATTCCTGGAGGTGCGCCACATGGCTTTTGCGAATCACTCCGCATAGGTCCGAGCAGTACTGAAACTTCTGACGTGGCAGTTTCTTCGTGAGGAAATCAGCTGCCATTTCGCCAGTTGGACAGTAGATGAGCTGGACCTTCTCTTTCTCGATTTCGTCCTTCACGAAGAAGTAATGCAGGGCGATGTGTTTCGTGCGGTTGACGAAGCCTGGTTTGTTTGCGATTTTAATTGCGCTCTGGTTGTCGTAGAGTAACTTGAAGGACCCATTCATTGCCGTCTTCGTTTCCTGTAGAAGCTCCGTGAGGTAGAGTCCTTCGCGAACTGCTGCGCTTGCTACGATGGATTCTGCTTCTGCTGACGAAAGGGCGATGAGTTCCTGTTTGTTGGAGTTCCAGGAGATGGTTCCTGCAGGCTCGAGTTTGAAAATGAAGCGTATGTGGGACCTCCTGTTGTCTGCGTCCCCAGCGTGGTCAGCATCCACGTAGCCGGTGAGTTGTAGTGGCGCTGTTAAGTTGGCCTTGTAGGTAAGGCCGACATCAGGCGTAGAGATGAAGTACTGTAAGGCGCGGCGCAGGTCTGCTAGGTTTTCCCCTTCAGGTCGGCGCAGGTACTGGGCGAGCTGGCTGGCGATGTAGGATAAATCAGGGCGACATATGACGGCGGCGAACAGTAGGCATCCGAGCTGCTGCTGATAGAGACGGTGATCAGCTGGTGAGAGCGGAGTAGTGTCGGGCTCGTGGTTAGGCAGAGGAATGCGGAATGGGGTGGTGACGCCGACGGGAGCTATCCCGAATTTCTTAGCTAGGGTCTCGACGTACTTTGCGGCAGAGAGATAAATGGTGTCCGCGGTCTGAGTGATGTTGAGGCCGAGGAATTGAATAACCTCATGGTCGATCGTGACCTCGAGCTTTTCCATAATTTTGCGTTCGTAGCGGTTGAGCAGGTCGTTGTCGTCGCCGGTGTAGAGAAGATCGTCGTCGTAGGCGACAAGCAGGATGAAATGGCCGCTGGATTCGAGGCGGTACATCCCTTGATCGTGGGGAATGTCAGATTTGTATGACATAGCTGTTGTAGGCTATAGTGGGGTAGCACATATGGGGTACAGCTTTCTAGGGTTCTATTTGTACCCAACTTTCACTTAGTCATTTCATTCTCGTTCTAACTTTCTCATGGTATCGAGCAGGTTCCCTAGTGGGAACTGTGCCTAGGGCCCACCACATCGAATCTTTTTTCCTGCCCGGAGCGCGCTCCACCCAAGTCGCGCTCCTCTCTTTCACCTCGTCGAGCCGCCCTAGCGGCCCCGTCGCCCTAGCGGCCCCGTCGCCCTAACGGCCCCATCCGCCTAGCGGCCCCCCGTCGCCTAGCCCTAGGGCCCCGTCGCCTAGCCCTACGGCCCCGGCGCCGCCCTGTCCCGGCCCCGCCGCCCTTCGCAGCGGCCCCGCCGCCCTTCGCTGCGGCCCCGCCGCCCTTCGCTGCGGCCCCGCCGCCCTTCGCTGCGGCCCCGCCGCCCTTCACTGCGGCCCCGCCGCCCTTCTCTGCGGCCCCGCCGCCCTTCGCTGCGGCCCCGCCGCCCCTCTCGCTACGGCCCCGCCGCCTACCGTGCGGCCTCGCCGCCCTTTGCTGCGGCCCCGCCGCCCCTCTCGCTGCGGCCCCGCCGCCTACCGTGCGGCCCCGCCGCCCTTCGCTGCGGCCCCGCCGCCCCCCCTCTCGCTGCGGCCCCGCCGTCTACCTTGCGGCCCCGCCGTCTACCTTGCGGCCCCGCCGCCCTTCACTGCGGCCCTGCCGCCCCTCTTGCTGCGGCCCCACCGCCTACCTTGCGCCCCCCCCGCCCTTCGCTGCGGCCCCGCCGCCCCTCTCACTGCGGCCCCGCCACCTACCTTGCGGCCCCGCCGCCCCTACCAGCGGCCCTGCCGCCCTACGCGACCGAGCCGCCCGCACCGCGAAGCAGCCCGAGCCGCCCGCACCGCTAAGCAGCCCGAGCCGCCCGAGCCGCCCAAGTCACCCGAGCCGCCCGAACCGCCCGAGCCGCCCGAGCCGCCCGAACCGCCCGAGCCGCCAGAGCCGCCCGAGCCGCCTGAGCTCCTGTGGAGCCGAGCAGCTGGTGCCGCAGAGCCGCAGTTGCTGCTGAGCAGTCCGAGTCACCCGGGCCGCCGTGTTGCTGAGCTGCTGTACTGCCGAGCTGCCCGACCCGCCCTGTCTGGTGAGAGCAGCGCTTCTGTCACTGCACTGCCCCTGTCCTACAGTTAGTGCTACTACTCTACTGCTGTCATGGCTACCCCCAGTGTTCTCGCTTTTGACGCTGAGGGTCGGGCCATTGACTTTGAGGTCTGGGTAGATGACCTGCAGCTATTCCTACAGTGCGATAGGGCGGACGGTCTCTCTCTCTTTGACCTCACCTCTGGTGCCTCTCCTGCCCCTCCTGCTGATGCTAATGCCACTGTTCGCTCCCAGTGGGCCACACGCGATGCTGCTGCACGTCTTGCTGTGCGTCGCCACCTGCCTACCACTGAGCGCGCACACTTTAGTCAGTACAAGAGTGCTCAGACCTTGTACGACGCTGTATTTGCGCGCTACTCTTCCCCTGCCACTGCTGCACTGAGCAGCCTCATCCTACCGTACCTCTTCCCTGACCTTGCTGCCTTTCCCACAGTCGCTGACCTCATTACGCACCTCCGCACTAGTGACACTCGCTACCGCGCTGCGCTTCCTGCTGAGTTCTGCGCCAAGAACCCCCCCCCCATGTACATCACTCTCTATTACATAGTTGCCTGCCTCCCTGACTCCCTTCGTGTAGTCAGGGACCACTTCCTCTCAGTCTGTCTCACCACTCTCACTGTTGACCTCCTAGAGAAGGCCCTCTTAGCAGCGAAGAAGAGCATAGTCACTGTAGGGGCCTCTCGTGGTGACCCTCGCACCTCCATCTTTCAGGGGTGTTCCCCTTCCCCCCTTTTTCCCTCTGTCGCCTCTGCTGCTGTGGCCGACCTCGTTGGTCTTGAGTCGGTCGGTGCGGCGTCTGCCCCTAGCGGGAGACGCCGCTCTGGCAAGGGCAAGGGGGGCAAGGGCGCGGGTGGAGCCAGCGGGGGTGGTGGAGGTGGCGGTGGAGGCGGCGGAGGGAGTGGGGGTGGCAGTGGGAGTGGTGGCGGGGGTGGAGGTGTCGCTGGCAGCAGTGGAGGCGGCAGCGGCGGAGGCGGTAGCGGTGGGAGCGGAGGCGGCGGTGGTGGCGGAGGTGGCGGAGGCGGTGGTGGAGGAGGTGGAGCTGGTCGGGGTGGCACTTCGCAGCGGAGCAGCTCCAGTGGTGGTCAGCGCCAGCAGCAGCAGCAGCAGCAGCGTTCTCGGGACATCCCCCCCCCCTCAGCAGCTCCGTGAGTGGTACGCGCAGCGTCAGCGTGGTG